GATGCTGAATTGTTTGGCTTTCTGTTCTGTGTTTTGCACTTTACTCATTGTATCTCCAGTGTATATCTAGCGGCCAACTTCTCTAAAATGGCTTTTTCCATATTAGCAACCGTTTGTTCTCCATTCATGGCTTTCATCACGTCTTGTTCTTTCAAATACTATCTTACATTTTTTGATTCCTTGTCCTGCTAATGATCTTTACTGATTAATAGCAGTAAGTGACATGGACAGAATCAGGGCATTTTTGGTTTCTCCAAATTGCACTCTCCATGTAAATTTAATGATAGCTTAAGTATTACTTTCCTTTTCTACATGCTGTTGACAATTTCTATTTGTAGTTGGTTGTTGGATTTGTTTTTCTATTACAAAATATGCAGAAATAAAAATGTAGTGCAGGGCCTAATAAGATTTAGTTACGTCTGTGATCTCTTGTGCAGAACAATGGCATCTCACATTGTTGGATATCCTCGTATGGGCCCCAAGAGAGAGCTCAAGTTTGCTCTCGAGTCGTTTTGGGATGGGAAGAGCTCCGCAGATGATTTGAAAAAGGTGGCTGCAGATCTGAGGTCATCCATCTGGAAACAGATGGCTGATGCCGGGATCAAATACATCCCCAGCAACACTTTTGCATACTATGATCAGGTGCTTGACACCACTGCAATGCTTGGGGCCGTCCCTCCTAGATATGGTTGGACTGGTGGTGAGATTGGTTTTGACACCTACTTCTCCATGGCTAGAGGAAATGCATCTGTGCCAGCAATGGAAATGACTAAGTGGTTTGACACCAACTAGTAAGTAACCACCACGCCTTTTACTTTCAGAAGGAAGATCCGTTCTTACCGTGCAATGATTATATTATGAAACTGGTATAACTAAACCCTGTCAATGCATTGATGCAGCCACTTCATTGTCCCTGAGCTGGGGCCAGAGGTGAAGTTCTCTTATGCTTCCCACAAGGCAGTGGATGAATACAAAGAAGCCAAGGCAGTAAGTGTTGTTCTAAATATCTGTGTTGACTGTGCTAAAGATTCATAAAATATAATAAGATATATTTGGAAAATGGAAATTGAGGATTTGATTGAGAATAAAGAATTTGTACAATGAAAGTCACAAGGTATAGGCCTTGAATCCCTGTCACATGGAGTGAATTTTATTAATAAATAACTCGTGTGAAAAAATGTACTGTATTATGAATTTATTTCATGCTTCAATGGCTTAAATAAACCTGATAGACTATATAGATATATAAATTTAGAGATCTGAATTTAGGCATAAAAGAACCTTATAATTGAGGTTAAAAAATGTTTTTGGTCATGCAGCTTGGAGTAGACACTGTTCCAGTTCTTGTTGGTCCCGTGTCATACTTGTTGCTCTCTAAGCCTGCAAAGGGTGTTGACAAGACCTTCTCCCTCCTTTCTCTTCTCGACAAGATCCTTCCCATCTACAAGTAAATAATCTGTCACTCTATTTAGATATACCAGAGTGTTCCCATAATGTCTCTCTTTTCACATATTTATTAACGATGGGTAACTTTTCAGGGAGGTTGTTTCTGATCTTAAGGCAGCAGGTGCCACTTGGATTCAGTTTGATGAGCCTACACTGGTGATGGATCTTGATTCTCACAAATTGCAAGCCTTCTCTAGTGCATATGCTGAACTTGAATCAGCTCTCTCTGGCTTGAATGTTCTTGTTGAGACATATTTTGCTGATGTCCCTGCTGAGGCATACAAGACCCTTACTTCTTTGAAAGGTGTCACTGCCTATGGATTTGATTTGGTTCGCGGAACTAAGACACTTGATTTAATTAAGGGCGATTTCCCCAAGGGAAAACACCTTTTTGCTGGAGTGGTTGATGGAAGGAACATTTGGGCCAATGATCTTGCTGCTTCAGTCAGTACATTGGAGGAACTGGCTGGCATTGTGGGTAAAGGTGATAACCTTTTGCTTATATTTGTATTATTATGGTGGTCGATATTATTATTTGAGAGCACTCTCTTACTGATTCTTTATCCCTCGTGGAAAAAATATGCAGATAACCTTGTTGTCTCCACCTCCTGCTCACTTCTCCACACTGCTGTTGACCTTGTCAATGAAACCAAGTTGGATAATGAAATCAAATCCTGGCTAGCTTTCGCTGCTCAAAAGATTGTTGAAGTTAATGCATTGGCAAAGGCTTTGGCTGGTAACAAGGATGAGGTGCGTTCTTAATTTTGTTGAAATTTTTCTCTGAAAGGTGCAAGCTATGTTTTTTAGGCCTTGATCTCTAACCTTTTCAGTAGTGTTATTATTGGTAATTGTTCAATTTCCATATTTGATGAAAATACTTCTTTCCCAGTAAAGTGATTTCAAGTCTACCCGACTTGCCTAATATCTAAGCAGATCAATAAATGTTTTGGCCTTTAAGGTTGCTAGCTAATGCATTATTTCTTCTACTTTCTTCCCTTGTTATATTGCTTTCTTGAAATTTGAGCTAACAATTTTAAGCTTATGATTTTGTATTCAGGCATTCTTTACTGCTAATGGTCAAGCTCATGCTTCAAGGAAGTCGTCCCCCAGGGTGACCAATGAGGGAGTTCAGAAAGCGGTATGTACCTCCATTTCTTATCTTTAATGTATCTAACTGTCTGTTTGCAGGCATTACATTCACTGATGATGAATTGCTTCCTGTTTGTGCAGGCTGCTGCTTTGAAGGGTTCCGATCACCGCCGTGCCACAAATGTCAGTGCAAGACTTGATGCTCAACAGAAGAAGCTCAATCTTCCAATCCTTCCAACCACCACAATTGGTTCCTTCCCTCAAACTGTTGAACTCAGGAGGGTCCGCCGTGAGTACAAAGCCAACAAGTGAGTAAAAAATAATATCAACTGTCCTTGAAGCCCAAATATATTTTAATCCTATTTCTAATGTTTGCATATTTTTTGGCTTTCATTTAGGATTTCCGAGGAGGAATATGTGAAGGCTATTAAGGAGGAAATTAACAAGGTTGTCAAGCTCCAAGAAGAACTTGACATTGATGTCCTGGTTCATGGAGAGCCCGAGGTGAGGAGTAAATCAAGTTCACTGTTTTGGTGGAGGGACATCGTACCGCTCTCTTCTTATTTTGCCTTTATCTAACTTGAACTTTATCATCACCGCAGAGAAACGATATGGTTGAATACTTTGGAGAGCAGTTGTCAGGTTTTGCATTCACTGTTAACGGTTGGGTGCAATCATATGGATCACGTTGTGTGAAGCCTCCAATCATCTACGGTGATGTGAGCCGTCCGAAGCCCATGACCGTCTTCTGGTCCACCGCAGCTCAGAGCATGACAGCCCGCCCAATGAAGGGAATGCTCACTGGCCCTGTCACCATTCTCAACTGGTCCTTTGTTAGAGTTGACCAGCCAAGGTAATAGAAGATGATGCCTCCTCTCATAATCTGAAAGAACCTCCTCTAGGTTGTTTTTTTTCCAGCTACCATGCTTGGTGCTTAATAGTCGTTGTTTATATTATCGTCTTCCAGATCCGAAACATGCTACCAGATTGCATTGGCCATCAAGGACGAGGTCGAGGATCTCGAGAAGGCGGGTATCAATGTCATCCAAATTGATGAGGCTGCTTTGAGAGAAGGATTGCCTCTCAGGAAGTCTGAGCAATCTTTCTACTTGGATTGGGCTGTTCACTCTTTCCGTATCACAAACTGTGGTGTCCAAGACACGACTCAGGTTACTAAACTAACTACTGAGTTTTTCATTACCATTACTAACATTTTCGACAAAATTTTCAACAAAATTTTCAACTGGCCTAAGATTTCATTCTCTGACAGATCCATACTCACATGTGCTACTCCAACTTCAACGACATCATCCAATCTATCATCAACATGGATGCTGATGTGATCACAATCGAGAACTCTCGCTCCGACGAGAAGCTCTTGTCAGTCTTCCGTGAGGGAGTGAAGTATGGTGCTGGAATCGGCCCCGGTGTGTACGACATTCACTCCCCCAGAATACCATCAACCGAAGAGATCGCGGACCGAATCAACAAGATGCTTGCAGTGCTTGAGACCAACATCTTATGGGTCAATCCTGACTGTGGACTCAAAACCCGCAAGTACGGCGAGGTGAACCCGGCGCTGAAGAACATGGTTGCTGCAGCCAAGCTCCTCCGAACTCAGCTTGCGAGTGCCAAGTGAGTGTGGTGGTGAGTTTTATGAGAGATGGAATCTCTTTCCTTATGTTTCCCTTCTTCCATATATCCAGGAAAAAAAAAGATATGTCTGTTTGTGTGGCGATATATCTAGTAGCTGGTAGTAGTGTGCTCTTCTGAGCCAATTTTCTCTCTTATTATTAATTTTTTTTTAAAATTACCTTTCGATATCTGTTTTGATTTGAGGTTATTTGTAGCTCTGTTCCTTCTTTTTCAAAGCCACCAAAATGCAATCTGTCTTGAAAGCGAAATGAAAAAGAAGACACGGCATTGCCAGTTTATGCAATTGTTGATGGATCTTGTTGGTTGAGTTTAATGCTACTTCTCTCTCTCTCTCTTCGGCAATTGATTTACATTATCAGATTCAAATTAATCTGCTAATTAACAATTTTATATATTTATTTATTACTTTCTTTCTCGACCTCAATCGCAATAGAATTTAACCTGTTGTTTCTCCATCTCTCTCTCAATGAAATTCTAAACCTGTTGTTTTTTATTTTTTGCTTGGCTAAATTACAAAATAACCTTTGCCATTTGTTTTAAATGTAAAAGTTTCAATACACCTGTTATCTCATAAGTGTTTTGGAAAGTTATTACCCATTTTCGTCATATTAAAAAAAATGATAAAATAGAATAAGTATCAACAAAAATGTCACATATATATATATATAATATTAATATTAATCATTTTTATCTTTAGAAATAAAAAAATATTTATTCATTTATAAAACGCCGAACACCGACTGTCCTTGCGAGGACAGAGAGCAGAAAACATGGTCAATTTGGTAAAGATTAGAACAGCCACTAGCCAGTTCGACACATTTCAACTTTCTATCATTCACAAAAGATGTGTTGATGATCACTTACACAAATTATTGAGAATGAAGACACAATAGCGGGTTTCGGATCGGTTGAGACGCCATATTAATACATATGATGCATATGCGAACCGAACCAGAGCAAGCTTCTACAAGGCATAGAAAATGTCATCTACATCACACAGGAAGTCCATTATTAACCTTTATACAAAGGAGTGGACTGCAGGGGGCTGAACTATTCTCATCATGCTAAATAAAATCACAAGCTGGTACAAAAAAGTTTGTGAACACACCCTTAATGCTAGTCGAAAGGCCACCCGGAATACCCCGTTTGGTGTTGGTTACTCTCATGCAGGGCTGGTGAGCTGTTTCCAGTGGTAGCGCTATGGTTAGAGCTCGAACTTGATGTTCGGAATGGCCATAAATTTGAAAATGGATTCCTTCTTCCTTGATTCATCCTACTATTCTCTCTCTCTCGTCTGTTTCTACTAGGATTGTTGCTTCCAGAAGAGCTGTGGCTACTACCCGACCCTTGTGCTGGCAGTTCCTGGCGGCAAACGGGGCAGGAGTTGTGCTGGACTAGCCAGGGAACTATACAGTCTGAATGATATATATGGTCGCATGGCATTTGCCTTGCTTCTGAGCCTAATTCAAATTTGTCTTGGCAAACAGGACAGTGTGAATTCGAACGGAGATGTCTTTGCGTGATTTTAACAACAGGCATTGCATCAATTGAAGATCTAGATGCCGGGGGCGGCCCATGTCGATCATTTGCTGAAAGCTGTTCGAACAGTTCTTCGAGTCCAGGGCCAACAAAATAATCACCACCATTGCTCCTACTCACACCAATTCCAGGAACCCCATTAAAAAAGGCTTCAAAGCCACCATGTCCAGACAATCTAACAGGAATTTGGCCACCAAAGATTAACCAAGGACCAAATCCTGGACCATGATCTGGAATTGGTTCCAACCTTCCCCTGATATTGTTTCTGTCTACCACTCGTTGCCTCATGAAGTTTGAGAAAAGCTCCATGAGTCCAAGCCTACGGTCATGATATTCGTTCTCATTGGCTCCAAAGAAATCAAGGGTACTGCCTCCCATCATCTCATCCAGTTCTTGAACAAATCCTCCATTACAGCTGGGGCAAACGCTGTCTTGCCCTCGAAGTCGAACTGGCCTCTCGCATCTGTAACACCAATGGGTGTCTCTTCCACTCGACATTGTTCCTCTCTATCCCTGCAAGTCTCAACTGCGAAACTCCTCAGTCCTGAGGTATCAAAACCATTAGTTTGCTATAAATAGAAATCTCATAAGACACGTATACACCAAAGTGACTTCGTTGAAAGAGATGCTAAAAAGAATCAACATTATATCTAGTTTACATTATATCTGTTCATTCTCGAGAAACACATACACTAAAGAATTCTTCATCTCTGCCACATTTTCACACAGAATGAAGTTCAATTGTCACTTTCCGTACTTTTTCTGTTCTACTTGTCTCAATATCCGGTTATAGCTTAGGAATTTAAGTTAACCCTGCTGATATTTTAGCCTCCATAGTTCACATTAGTTGGGTATTTACATGGCCTTTACTCAAGAATGCTGCATCCCAGCAAGTATGCTTTAAAGTCTACCTTCTAATAAATTTACAACTTGTCTTGGGGTAGATGATTGAGGATTAGTTAACTCCTTCATTGATGGGGAAAGAAATTAAATAGTAAATTACAGATAATAGACCAAATATATATAGCAGACAAGAAGAAACAGTGAAGATTAGGGCATTACTAGTGGATTTGCGTTCGAGATCGTGAGAAATGGGGCAAAGACAATCAAATCTAATGGTACAGACCTTACCGCTCAGGGCAAGGGCAATCAATTCTCTGCCCACATACTGGTTTGCCGTAATTACAATTTCAAAGTATGATATTCAAACGAATCAAAATTGTTAAGCCACTCGTGAAGAATCAGTACTGAATAAATGGATAAACGCACACACGCATACAAGTATCGATGTGAATCTCACGATTTAAGTGCAGATCCGAAGACGAAAGCAGCGACGGATGGGAAATCGAACAAATTTAAGACTTACTTGATATTAGGGCAGAGGGGTCGACATTGTGTGATTCGTGAGATTAGAGCGCAGCAGCGGCAATTATATCAGGCGATGGAGGAGTGCATACAGCAACAATCAGCGGCAGCAACGACGGCAACCATTGGCGGCGGCGGCGGTGGCGGTGGCACGAGACTGATGGAGGAGGACAGTGGAGAGGGATCAGGGATTTGCATCAGTGTGCGGTGTGGTGTGGGTGAGCTTCAATATAACACCTTTTTCATAGCATTTTAATATTCGTCAATAATTATATATTTTTTTAGTATTTATTATTATTATTATTATTATTATTTTAATAAGATGTTTAAGAGACAAAACACCTTCTAGTTAGAAATAAGTTCTTTCAACTAGGTTCAGCTTGACAATTTAAAATTTATTGTTATATGTATATATTATTCAAAGACCTTACATGACTTTGGATGATGTGCATTTTTCAAAGACTTTAAATTTTTAATAATCTTTGATAAGATGTTGCCCAGATGGTGGTCCTTTGACCTATATCTACGCTAATTGTTTGACGGAGTTGAGATTAAAAGACATGAAAATTTGCTAACCAAATAAGCTCAACTTGTCTCTTACAAAGGCAACATAAATTGATCTAATCAAATTATGACATATGATGATTGGGTCTAAAGACAAATAAGCACGAGTCCTGCACTGGTCATAGTGTTGACAATCAGCCTCAATTGTAGAGATCCACTAGTGTAACCCACACGGCATCATTTTCAAGAAATAATAATAAAAAAAACAAAGACAAATAAACACAAGTCCACTAAAGTAAATTGAGACAAACCCGAGTAAAGTCCAAGATCCATTAAAGACTATAAACAACTATTAAGACTGGACCAACTAGATGGTAGGGGTATAATCAGTTTGGTTCGGGTCGGTTTTAGGGTTGATTAACTTTAAATCGAAAATGAACCAAATATATCACTTTTATAAACTTAACGAATCGAGCTGAACTGCAACTCCAACTAAACCACAAAAATCGATTTGATTCAGTTCGATTTATCGATTTTATCGATTCGACCGGATCATTATGCACCCCTACTAGATGGGCCACAAAAGCCCAAATCAGTGCTTCCATCTTGACACAATGCATTTGTAAATATAGAAAATATCTTTTCTTCTAAAAAGTAGCCTTGATCAATAAAATTTTTCAAGATGTGATAGGCTTTATCAGTGCTTCCATCCCCACATAAGGTATTGATCAAGATGCCATACTTTGAAGATGAGCAGATGCAACATTCATGGTACTTTGAATTCACTCAGGAAGAATTTGAATATATAAATTAAAAGTTAAAATAGTCTATCTTGAAAAATATCGGACATTACAAGTGATCAGGATAGATATATATAAGGGAATCATTTGAAGTTGAGATCATGAATGGATGACAGAATTTACGATCGTCGACTTTGATCATGCCACTAGACAGGCTTAGGACAGAAGGATGAAGCGTGCAAAGTCAATCGTGCACTTGAAAGACTTCCTTACTTTATTTTGAATAACAATCCACATGACGAAGTTAAGGAGATTAAAAAAAACTCTTTATCTTCAAATTAGAAAACCCAAACAATAGAAGCAAAATGGAAAAAAGATTAGGATGCCCCAGCCCATTGGGCGAACTCCATCCATCTTCTTTCCTTCTTTCTACTTTTACGGTTAAATGACCTGGTTAAGGATTTATCCGGCGTAAGATATCACATTGTTCGAAGAACTCTAAATGCGTAAAACAACAAAAATCTCATAATAACAATAGAACACAAAAAAGAGAAAAAAAAAACCTCAGAAAGTCCACAAAATTCAAATTAAATAAACAAATGAGAGAATTTGTACTTAACCAAAGAAAAAACAAAGAATTTCGAACCTATAACATTTTCATCTGGATATATATCTTAACTAGTTGAGCTCTTATGTTAGCAATCGTGACTTTTTTAAGTGTCACGTAATTCCTAAAGTTATTACTTTTCATGACATTTGAAAAACGTTGCAAGTAAATAAAAATAGTGTACATGTCTCTAACATTTCATGACATTTTTTAAGTGTCATTGAATCCCAATTTTTATTAACTTTTTGTGACATTTAAAAATGTCATAAATAACAAAACAGAAAGGGTAAATTTCCACTTTTTCTCGCCACAGTTGCACCTCCAACCTTTTATGACATTTTTTAACTATGATTCTATTCTAATATTTATTTACTTTTCGTGACTTTTAAAAATATCATAAATAATAAAAAATTCGTAAATCTCTTTTTTTTTTCCTGTCAAAATAGGTTAGAGACAAGTACTGATTATCATGTTGGCACTAAACTTATAATTTAACAAGTTAATTACTTTAGGTCTCATTTGGTAATATTTTTTGCTGGTTTTATATTTTCGAAAATAAAACTTATAAAACCTACTTCACCTACCATATGTTTCTTTATAATCTAAGCGTACAAAAGTAAAAAATGTAAATAAATTCAAACATGTTTTTTTTCTTCCCTTTTTACCTGAAGCTAAGAAACATGAAGAACACGCTAAAGAAATTGCAAGGCAGGCCACCATAAAATTTAAAAACGAAATCATCATCAAATAAGACATTAGTTATATAATTGCTACTATCCCGTCACTTAATATTCATCCAACTTATATAGCTTCAATACACGTCTAGAATGACAGCTGGCATGGCAGTGGGAAAGACAAGCCATGTGGGGGAGAAACTTTTGTCAGCAGTCTCCAAGTGTGCATCTCAATTTGCACACAAATTTCCAAGTGTTGGTATTCAGAGCGGCAGTTGAACAGCACAGAGAATGAAAAAAGTTTTATGAAGTACCATACTTATTTTGACCCCACCATGTTTTTACGTTTATAATAATTTTTTAATGTTGGTGGACCCACGTCATTTTTAATGCAATACTAACATGATAGACAATGAATGAAAGGAGATAGACAATGAATGGAAGGAGTATCCATCCTCCTATAGTACCAAAAATTTCTCCATGTATCAGTAGCATTTTAGAATGACGTGGAATTCACGTAAAGTTGTAAATAGAAAAAGTATACTATTGTAGCACTAAATTTTTCTCATCAAGCACGAGTTGTGACCTTGATTCCATGTTATTGTGGCACTCGTGCTCTATTATAGTCCATCGTATTAAAAACTCTAGATCCTTTTAAGTGTAATGCACCGACAATTAGAGCCCACCATATAGCATATTCTCTCACCTGCATCTTGGTATCTGAACTCAACCTTTCTTTTTATTTTGATCACTAAACTTTTAAAACATCCATCTTGATTTTGAACTTTTCGTTTCCTTTATTTTAATTTTTAAAAATTTATATCTATTTTAGCCCATGAACTTTTTTTAAAATAATTTTGATCCTTATTTTTATTTTACTTTTAATAAAATAGATATGATAGGCTTCAAGTATGGATATTTTTATACTAACATAAACATATATTAGAGCCACATAAGTCCGTGGAAATAAGCATGAGTGAGTAGATAGGGTATCAAAATAAAACCAATAATTAAAATGATTTAAAAAAAAAAGGTACTAAAATAAACATTTTAAAAGTTGAAGGACTCAAATCCATAGTTTACCAAAAAGTTCAAAAAAACTGGAATAAATATTTTCAATATCAAAGTAAAAAGAAAAAAAAGAACATATTTAGGCATCAAGATCTAATGTGGGATTTATACCTTTAACTATTTTTCTAAGTGAGCGGTGGGTTTCCTCATGCTAATTGATGGTTCCCATCTCATATTTATCACAGCTAGTTTACTCAGCAGTAGTTGGCACCTGTCTCTTACCAAAAGGTCATGTGTTATCTCCACCTCCATTGGTTACTAAAATATATATATATCACATATCACAAATTCGTTCAGTTATTATCATCCCTCTTTCTCGTTGTCTCTCCCAACATGTCATGAGCATTAATATTCGCTCTTTGTCATTGTCAAAATTACTTCTCTTCCCATTGATGATTTTGAAAAAATCAATTATGTTATAATATATATTTTTTTTTCAAAATTACTACTTCTATCGTCACTCCCAAATATACCCTTAATGTAGTAAGATTTGGTACACAGAGCTGATTAGATTGACCAAACCACTTTGATGTTGAGGTATCACATATTTGTCAATCTCATGGCAAAGACAGAAATCAGAGTTGTCCTCTGAGATTGTATGAGATGGCCAAAAAGACCGTTGGGTGTTAAAAAAGCTACTACTTCTCTGGCTCTCCATGCCATTTTTTCCTTTAGGGCTTAAAACAAATATTTGTTCGATTGTGTACACTTTCGTTCAGTTACGTTCATTTTAGTCTCTTTTTTTTAATTTTTTTTTATTTGAGTGCAACATGTGAGGGTGGGAGATCGAACTCACAACCTCTTGGTTGGAGATATATGTCAATTACAGCTATGCTTGCTTTGACATGTTCATTTGAGTTTTTATACTTATAAAATATCTATTTTGGTTTCTATACCTCTAAAAAGTGACCATTTATTCTAACATAAAGTTTATACACGATGCTAAATTGTGATGGAAAGAAATGAAATAAAAAATAAAAATGAAAGAACAAAAAATAGTCACTTTTAAATACAAAACCAAAATGGACATTTTAAAAGTACACTAACCGAAATGGTATTTAAACCATTTTCAACTACAAGAAGAGATTATCCTCTTTGACATGTTTTTGAAGATGAATCTGGGCAATACCCTCTCATTAGCCTAAAGCTTCCTTTATCTTGTCCTAGATATAGTTTGAATGATCTTTTGGCTCCTTGAAAAGTTTTCTGTGAGCTTGGACGTTTTTGGACAACCCATCTTAGATATTTCATATCATCAATAAAATATTGCTCCTATCAAATATATGAATACAATCGGTAAAAAGGGTCCCCTTTGCTGCCAAAAGTTGTAAAGAAAAAATATTACATCATAATATTGTGGTGTCAAAAGCTAATCCACATTAGCATCATGTTCTTGGCAGCCATCAATATAGGAATACTATGAATTCTCCAATTGAATGATAACATATTTTGGTGGTCAAAATCAGAATCGACACATATAAACACCTACTTAGTTCAGAGTCATCAGTAGGTAGAAAACGGACCCTTCGTACCTGCCGACCTGATCCATGTTGAGCTAAGATGAACAAACCATGTCAACTGTCCTGAGGAATCCGACCTCAGATTTGACCAACCGACCTGGGGCCCGACAGTC